CTTCTGAACTTCTGTAAGCATCCTCTTTGGCGTGACGAAGCTGTTTGAGTTTCCCAGTAAACCACGGTTTATCATTATTAAATGATAAGAATGTCCTGGTAGGAATGCGCATATCTTCACAGAAACTGATATATGAAGTTACAGTCTCTGTGAGCTCGTCCAGATCGGTGGCTGCAGCTTCAAAAACACTCCAATCAGTGAGGTCAAAACAGGCTTGTAAATCACACTCTGCATCATTAGTCCATCTTTTAACAGTACTTAAAACAGGTTTAGCTGATTTCAGTTTCTGCCTGTAGGTCGGTATAATATATTAAGGAAACATAGTAAACAAAAAAGGGAGCATTTAAATCATTGCATTATTCAGTGTTGTTTAATTTTATATAATCAGCAAAAACACTGCAAATGTATCATGAATACTCAAAAAAATCACCCAACCCTAAGCCAATATTTTTTTTCCGTTTCTATTTCAGCCTGAACCAAAGGAAAGTGGACATACCCCTGAGATGACAGGCCCACACTGTACTAAAGAGATGCCTGTCGGCAAGAATCCGGAAAACAAGAAACCTCAGCTTCGCAAAACACGAAGCCAAGATCTGCCTGACAAACATCATCCAGAGCATCAAAAAGTGCTGTCAGAGACCAGGTTGTACACACAGGAGGCCTTTTCAAAGACCAGCAAAGTGGAGACCATCACGAGCAAAGCTACTATAGAGAGGAGAGAAAAGATTCACACCTCTTTCTCTCATTCTCACACCATTAATGTAAGCCATTCCCCTGCAGAGCGGGAGAAGAGGAGTCACCTTTTGCAGCAAACCAAGAGAGACTCACAAGAAACCCCACCTCCCCCACCTTCTCCTCCACCTCCGCGGGATCCAGGCGTATCACGTCCCAGCATCATAAACATTCAAAGAGAGCTGCAGTGTGCTGTTCAGAAGACCAGCTCTGAGGACAAGTATCAGGCCTGTAGTAGAAATCATCCTTTTCACTCATATTCCAAGGTGAGCTTTCTTTTGACACAGAGTCATTTTCTATTTATTTATTCAGCAAATTTCAAGTAGGTAAGATTTGAATCATTTTATTAGGCAAAGAATAGTCCTATTTTGAAGTGCTACTAAATTACATTGCGAGGCAAGTAAAAATGTTGGGATAATATGAACGTGTTACAGGGTGGAACATTTAAAACCAAAATGGCTACATTCAGCAATCAACAATATGACTTTTGTGACACAATTTGGCTCCTCTGAAAATTCTGTTTGTTTTTGTCATTTAAAATTATAGTTATAGTTAATTACAGTGGAATATGCTTATTTGGTGCTCAAGAAACCAAATAAGCATATAATTAGAAATATTTTCTAATTATTATCAATGTAGAAAACAGTTTTGTTGCTTAGATATTGTGTGTTCCTTATACACTTTAAGGATTCTTTGATGAATATAGTTTAAGAGAACAGCATTTATTTGAAATAGAGATCATTTGTAACATTATAAATGTATTTACTGTCACTTTTGATCAATTTAATGTGTCCTTGCTGATTAATAAAAAATGACTGACCCCAAACTTTTGAAAGTTTAAATTATACATTTACACATGAATATTATATACATTTTTTTTAACTATTTACATCAATATCTTATCAATATCTTGATGCTACAGTCACTTTAGAAATATTTTAAATGATTTCTATTGCTTCTGTGGACATGTAAAATGCATATTCTATGTATAAATAATCACTATAATCGCATTCAATATTTTGTATTTCAGTATAATATATCTAGGCTTGCAAAACACTTAATATTTTAAAGCAGATTTTTGTCTTTAGTGGATTTTCTAATGGTGCTTTTAAATGCCAACTAACAAAAAAATGGCAAGCAAAATTATATTACAGGGAGAATTACAGATTTTCTTTCCTCTTTATTTGTGTACGTTTTGTTTCTATAGACTTCTGCTCATCATTCTTTAGAGGAGGAATATTTGCCTCATGGGACACCAGAGCCAGCAGCTACTGTACCTGAAGGTGACTTCCAGCCTGACCATCTTACTGAGGAATCGCTCTCCAATGATGAGTACGAATGCACCTCCCCAGATGACATCTCCCTACCTCCTTTATCTGAGACTCCAGAATCCAACATTATTCAGTCAGAAAATGACCTTGATGACGGCTATTGCGTGAGCTCTCACAGCCTTCACATTAACCAGCACAGCCATCAGTCCCACTCTCAGCATGGCGACACGCTACACCAGAGGCAGCGGGAGTGGATGTTGAGTCAGGCCGAGAGCTACCCATCTCCCACCACTGGCCTGGCGGCTAGGTTCAGAGCAGAGTCGTCCTCTTTTGTTCAAAGCCCCCTCACAGTACCTGCCCCAAGCCTTGTGTCAAACACCATATCCAGCATCTTAAAAAGCAAATCTGGCAACCCACCACCAAGCAGCATCACTGAAGCGCTTTACTCATTGCATGAGAATCATACCGAGATGCAAAAGTGTGTGCATGATTCTAGTACGAGTCAGTGCCACAGCGCTCGGCCCAATAACACGCATGCTACCCCTACCCCATTAACCACAGAGCAGGACTTGGATCTCTGCAAGCCCACAGCCATCCGAGAAGAGATCAGGTGGGCATCTTCCAAAAAGGTTATGGGAAAACTGGCAGGTGGCACAAGCCCTAACTTCTCCAAACCCTTGCCTAATGCCACAGTAATGGAGGGCTCTCCGGTGACCCTGGAGGTGGAAGTCACTGGATTCCCTGAGCCTACATTAACCTGGTGGGTAGCTTATAACAAACTTGACCCATAAATTAAAACATTCTTTGCTAATAGGAGGAAAAACTGGCCATTGTTTCTTAATATAATAGTCTACATGAATATATTATTCTTAATGTCTTTTAATAATATATAGTTAGCATTAAATATTAAACATATTAAACATTAAAAGACCCATAAATTAAAACATTCTTTGCTAATAGGAGGAAAAACTGGCCATTGTTTCTTAATATAATAGTCTACATTAATATATTATTCTTAATGTCTTTTAATAATATATAGTTAGCATTAAATATTAAACATATTAAACATTAAAGTAATATATTTACTACAGTTCAGTAAGGTTTTTAGAAATTTAGAAAGAAAGAAACTTTAACTTTATATAGCAATGATCAAAAGTGATAGTAAAACATTAAAAAAGTAGTTCTTTTGCACTTTCTATTTATCAAAGAATAACAAAAATGTATCATTGTTTCCACAAAAATACTCAGCAGCACAACTGTCAACGTTGATAATATTAACTGCCAACATTGATAATGTTTCTTTCTTGATCCCCAATCTGCAAATTAGAATGATTTCTGAAGGATCATATGACGCTTAAGACGCCTTTCTTTCTTAAGACGTCATTCTTGATCAAATAAATGCAGACTTGGTGAGCAGAAGAGACTTCTTTCAAAAACAATAAAATCTTACCAACCCCAAGCTTTTGAACGGTAGTGTAATATATAGAGATGATTAATTATCTGAATGCTATTGCATCCAAATGGGTGGCAAATTCTCATTATACAACATTTTGATCGATATTCCAGTTTTTAAAAACTTAAGAAACTTTTAAAAACATCCATCAAAAAGCATGGTATTTGTACGTCAGATAGATTAACAAATATATACATATATATTTTTGTCTGCCTGCATGAAGCAGGTTTGTTGAGGAAAGTTGATGTTTTCTCCATTAATTTTTTATCTCATTTAATTTGAACTTTTTTTCCCCCACTGTCATGCATATATTCCATGTATACTAACTTGATAATCCACATTTCCTTTCGCTAACCTTTCCTTTTTATGCGTCTTCTGTAGGACCTTCAACTTTAACATTACCTCTAATTTCTCTTTTTCATTGAGTGTGTATTAATGTGTGCCTTTTTTTTGCTGTGGTGTGATCGTGTAACATAATAATTCACTCTTTGTTCAGGTTCAAGAATGGACACAAACTGGCCAATGATGAGCACATAGAACTATCCCATAAAGAAGGCAAACATGCGTTGTTCATTCACAGCTCTGCAGTGAGAGACTCTGGGCAGTATGTGGTCACTGCCTCTAATTCAGCTGGCACTGTCACGTCCAGCTCCACGCTACAGGTCAAAGGTAACAGCAGCCCTGACTTAGATGTTCTCAAGCTGGACTGGCACACCTGCTTTGGCACCCTCTGTTTCTTCTTGTGGCTTCTCTATCTGCTGTTGTTATAATGGACACTGCCATTAATATAAGGAAAACACATGGATGTGGACTTCACTTTTGAACTTTTTTCACGTCACATAACCACTGGTGTGTGCAGAATTAAGAGCACATGGGTAGTTGATATGAATCTTCATCTAAAACTATTCTAAACTAGCAGTTTAATAATTATTTTAGAATGCAATTCATTTATAATGCATGCAGCTCTTATGATATTGTTTGAAAGACTATATTTAAATATTTGTAGTTTTAAAAATGAATCTGTCACACTGTAGGACCTTTCAGTGAACTAGTGAAGGCAAAAAGAGTTTTGAAATGGTGGTTAGGCACAGGACCTAAATATATACTTTATATATACAGTCTACATTCATATAAATTTCAACGTAAAATTGTTGTTTAGTGTGTGTGTGTGTGTGTGTGTGTTTTACATTGACACAGGCATCAACTACCCACAGATTTGTTCATTTTGGCTATGAACACTGAAATCACTATAATAATGTTTTGCAATATTCAAATTCAGCATGAACTGAATTATTTTGTATTTTTCCTATTATATTATGGAAGTAGCAGTGGATCTGCATGCAGTTCCCTTTGTGATGGTAATGAAGCCTTGGTCTGCTCTGCCGGTATTTATAGTTGCAGTTCTGAAATGTTCAGCATTTTACAGTTAAATTATTTATTTTTAAAGAGTTTGAGTGTTCTTTTTAAACAAACCCACTTCTAGATCTAAATGAAATGGTCCAGAAGGGAAAATTCAGGGATAATTTACTCTCTAATCTAGATGAAGATATTTTGAAGATTTTTATTTTTTTTGGCCATTAAATGAAACTAAATGGGGTCCAAAACAATCAAATAAAATAAAAACTGAGAGACATTTTTAGAACAGAATTGTGATGACAGAATTTTGCTTTTTGGGTGAACTAATCATTTGGTGTTAACATTTGTTATTTATTGAAATTTTCATGATTACAACAATAAAAGATAGCCATAATACATTATTTCTCTTATATAAATGAAGGTAATTTAACATTTTTAAACACACATAGCGGTTAATCTAGAGCTTAATCAATAAGCCTTATCATTTTATACAAACAGTTAATATGGTATTGGTGTTCAAAGTGCTTCATATCTACGTTAGCTTGAAAATGTGTGTGTAGTAAATAAGGACTGTTGTAGTCAGGGTGATGTCATCTGTCTTTAGCATATGTGACCCTGGACCACAAAACCAGTCTTAAGTCGCTGGGGTATATTTGTAGCAATAGCCAAAAATGCATTGTATGGGTCAAAATGATTGATTTTTCTTTTATGCCAAAAATCATTAGGACATTTAGTAAAGATCATGTTCCGTGAAGATATTTTGTAAATTTCCTATACTGTAAATATATCAAAACTTAATTTTTGATTAGTAATATGCATTGCTAAGAACTTCATTTGGACAACTTTAAAGGTGATTTTCTCAATATTTTGATATTTTGATTTTTTTGCACCCTCAGATTCCATTCCAGGAATTTCATTCCAGATAATCTCGGCCAAATATTGTCCTATCCTAACAAACCATACATCAATGGAAAGCTTATTTATTCAGCTTTCAGATGATGCATAAATCTCAATTTTGAAAAATTGACCCTTATGACTGGTTTTGTGGTCCAGGGTCACATATGTATCTTTGGTTGCAACTTGCAAGAGAGTCAAGTAACTTAATCTGAGGTAGGTGGTGACTGAGGTAAATGTTGTACTGTATATTCAACTCACATATTACTACCAGCTAGACACATCACAATTAACTTTGTTAAATGCGTGCAAGTTGCTTGTCAGTGTTGTTTTAATATCCATATGCTCTTGAGTTTCATTTCCAGGTGGTCTGATATTTCTGTTGATTCTAAGTACATTTCCTAATAATATTTCCCATTGATAAATACGCACAATATTTTCTCTATTGCTAGGAAATACATTTTATTCAGAATAGGGCCTAATCCTCAATGACCCTTTGACGTTTTGGTCCATTTTGGCTAATATAAATATATATAGAGAGCGAGACAGAGTAAAAGCCCCAAAACTTAAAATTTAATTTCATGGGGTAATGGAAGTTCTCTACTGAAGTAAAGTAAGGATGACTATTAATCAATGGCATTTTGCTGTTATCACACAGCATAACTTAGTGTTCTCAGGTTACACCTTTGCTTCCCTGGTATGTCGCCCTACTGAGAAGGTGTCCGAGGTGTCATTCTGCACCCCAGCTGATTCCGATACAGCTGTCTCACAGACATGGGCCCTGTACTTTTAACTGGACTTTAGTATTCCTTACTTTTTTTACTTACTGCTTTCCTTTTCCAACAGTAAATGATAAAGGCAGCTTTGAAAAACCAACACATGCTTAATGAGGCTCAAGCTGAAGTATGACAACACTTTTTGAATTATAAAAGCTTTTTTAGCCTGTTTTTGTTTGAGATAATAATGTAATCATTTCTGCTTAATCTTTTCGGTGCAGTAAATCATAATGTAACCTGATTTCCTCAGTGCACAGGGTCACTCCACCCTTCCCCTCCAGACCGGATGAGCAAAATTTATTAGTGGAAGAAGACCTCTCAGCTCACGCTGCACTTATCCTCAAATGCTCTGCAAGAAAGATACTAAGGTTGCAGCATGTGACGAGAGCCAAGTGAGTCAAACAGCGTAAAGTCTGAGACCACTAGCATTCTGCTATTGTTTCATGTTCACCATGCTTTTGAGAATGACATAATGGAAAGAAGAAAATGTGTCCATATACACATTAAAATAAATAAATAATTTGTGTGGTTTTTTTTTAACAGAAGCCAAAACCATTATAAAGGTCACTGATTATTGAACATACTGTATAAGAAAGATCTGGAAAACCCATTATCACTCATCACTGGCACAGATGCTGTTTAGAGGAAAAACTTTGCATATCAGAGTTCACCGAGCCTGATCTTCTAATTCTTTGTGAATTATTCATAATTATAATATCTGTAACACTACACTCTAAAAAATGCTGGGGTTAAATACAACCCAGTGCTGGGTAAAATAGGGACAAACCCAGCAATTGGGTTGTTTTGACCCAGCGGTTGGGTTAAATGTTTAACCCAACCTTCTGGGTAGTAACCCAACCG